GCGGGAGAAAGATGAGGCATTCTGCTCCCATAAAGATTTACACCCTCGGAAACCCTGTACAGGGTCGCTATGGGTCGGAACCGACTCCACGACACTTAACAACAGATTTGGGGGAAGGGGCTTTCAGGGCCTCACCCTCTGCCCACCTCCTGGGCAGTTCCCGGGAGTACCCAGGCAGACGGTCAGCTCACACTGAGGGGGGTTTGTGTCCTGACTGGACAGGTCACGGGCCCTCAGGGTCTCCAAGGAAAACAGTCCCCACCCCTGTTACTAGGGAAGCAATCCCTCACACCATGTTGTTAGGGGGCAGCTCCACCCCATTACCAAGCACCAGACTTCCCCTGGAAAACAAGATTTCAAAAGCGAAAAGGAATCTGGAAATGCCAGCCTCTGGAGGATACGCGCCGCCCAATAGGAAGGACAAGCGGAGAAACTGAACAGGTTGCCCTCCAAGCGGGTCCCAGCCTGCACACCACATGGACCTCACCCCGGGATCCAGCTGCACCCCAGCCTGGAACGGCACCTCCACACCAAGGAAACACAGCGGGACACAGCAAGCACCTTCCCCTCCCCACAGGGGGCAAGAGGGAGTCCCCAATTACCTCGACTTTTTGCCTGAAATCGTCCCGGGCTGCGAGCAGCTGGTTCAGCGTGTTCTGCGCGTGCTCCATGCGGCTGCAGTACTCGCCATAGAGGAGAAGCCTGGATGCGCATGCGCGCATAGCACAGTGTAAGACCCCGTTGCTGTTTTCCCGGAGGCTGCTGTCTGCCTTTCCTGAAGTCCCCCCTGGCTAGGAGGAGGGCTGCCAATGTGCTCAGGACATATTTGCCACCCAGAGAACGCAGAATTTCAGAGCAACCCTGAGGCAGACGTGGATGACATTTTGGGGGGCGTTTCCTGGCTCTCAAGAAACCCCTGGGGCTCGTGGCTCAGTGCCTCAACACGTGGTCAGCAGGCCAGCTGTCCGCACTGGGAGACTGGCTCTGGGACTCCAAGACTTTAGTCTAGTCTGGGGACTGCTTAAGCCCACCTTCCCTGGTCAGCATGAGGGCAGACACCTGGTGGTTACCCCCCACATATGGCTCCCCATCATGGACCCCCGTATCTGAGTCATACATGCTCATAGGAGGGTAGGGAGGTGGGAGGGACCCTCAGCTCTTTCCAGCATAAGCCAACATGGAACAGATAGAAAAATGTCCACAGTCATACCCGACCTCACCAAACACCACTGACCGCAAAGGGGTCCCCAGGGCTCAGAAAGGGGAGTGACTACAGTCCCTGCAAGACCAGGCACCTCGGCTGGAACCACAGACCCCACTGTGAGGCCTCAGGAAGGCTCTCTTCTCTCCACATGGGGAAGAGGGACCAAGGGGCCCCCACCTAGCACAGAACAAATGGAGACCAGGTAGCAATGTCCCCACCTGCTGAACTCAACTATGGGGCTAGAGGCATCCTGGACTGGGCTGAACAGTGTCTGCCCAAACTCCAGGGCCTCCATCAGGACCTGGAAATGTGCCCCATTTAGAAATAGGGTCTTCGCAGATGTGAATGAGGGAGAGTCAAGATACAATCACACTGGATTTAAGAGGGTCCTCAATCCAATGACCAGTGTTGTTAGATGAGGCAGAAAAGAGATGCAGAGGGGAAAGATGGCGCCAAGTGAGGATGGAGGCAGACTTGAGTGATGTGGTCACAAGCCAAGGACTGGGAGCCCCCAGAAGGCGAGGCCTCCCCTAGTGCCTCCGGCAAGCGTGCCTCCGACGAGCGTGCCTCCGACGAGCGTGCCTCCTGCCCACACCTGGATTTAGACTTCTACCTCCAGAGCTGCAACATGATCTATCTCAGTCGTCATGCGTGCCCAGGACAGTTCTTGTTACAGCCACCACCGGACCCTCACACTCGCTTTGTCCCTGTCCCTGCCCCACACACCATGCCTGAGGGCCATCAAGCCCATGGGATCCAGCTTGACGTTTCTGTGAAGACCCTGAGAACCTGAAAATGAGTCCTAACCTAATTCCTATTGGAGGGAGTCAGCTAAGGAAACCAGTGTTTATAGGCATTCATTGTAACCACAAATGTCTACAACATTCAGAACATTTATCCAAAATGTAGAAAGGAGGGAAAGAAAAAGAAAAAGGGCCTCGCACATCATACATCGCACGAGTATGATGGACGTAGGCCTGTACAGCCATCTAAGACTCCCAGGGAGGGCAGCCTTGTCCACATCACTCCACAGATGTCTGTCCAGACGGAGAAGCAGCATCCTTGGAATTTATGTTGCCCCCAAGATGACGATGTCATTGCCCCCAAGGATTAATCAACATTGTGTCCTACACAGCAGCTCACTCCTGCTGCCCCTTCTCCACTGGCCACACAAGCTCATTCCTATTTCCTCCTTCCGACGAGCTCTGGCATCTATTATGACCTGAAATTCCATGTTCGACTCCTAATCCCGATCCCTGTGGACATGGAGTGTGGCACTGTGGGATAATCACTCAACCACGAAGTCGGCGGTTCTAACTCACCAATTGTTCTTCAGAAACCCTTTACAGGGTCGCTGTGCATCAGAACCAACTTGATGACACTTAACAACTACAACTTATCAGTGGATACAACCTTCAGTGTACACTACCCCTCAACATAAAGAAAACAAAATCCTCACACCAGGAGCCAATAAGTAGCAAGCATGATAAAGAGAGGAAAGATTGAAGCTGTCAAGGATATCATTTTAGGAAGGTCCACAATCAGTGCTCATGGACGCAGCAGTCAGGAAATCAAATGACACATTGCATGTCTGCTACCAAAGTCCTCTTTTAAAGTGTTAAAGAGCAGAGATGTCACTTTGAGGACTACGGCAAGCCAAGGTACACTCATACGCATGAGAAAACCGGCCAATGAATAAGAAAGGCCATAGAAGAACTGATGCCTTTGAATTCTGGTGTTGATGAAGAATACTGAATACATCACATACTGGAAGAACAAACAAATCTGTTCTGGAAGAAGTACAGCCAGAATGCTCCTTAGAAGCCAGGATGGCAAGGATTCATCTCATGCACTTTGGGCATGTTGTCAGGAGGGACCACTTCCTGGAGAAGGACATCATGCTGGTTAAGTAGAGGGTCAGTGAAAAACAGGAAGACCCTCAATGAGGTGGATGAACACAGTGGTTGCAGTAATGGTGACAATTGTGAGGATAGTGCAGACCCGGGCAGTGTTTCTGAACGGAGTTTCTAGAACCTACTCAGTGGTACCTAACAACAACAAATACCTGTGGAGAAGGAGGCTAGTAGAGCAACAGTTAGGCGCTTGGCTGCCAACCCAAAGCCTGCAGTTCAATCCCACCAGCTGCTTCTAGGGAGAAACACCGGGTATGTGCTCCCATAAAGATGACAGCCTAGAAAACCCCGTGGGGCAGTTGGACTTTGTCACAAGAAGTCACCAGGAGCTGGAATGGACCCAAAAGCATACTTGTGGCTATGCCCCTTTGCTTTGTTGTGTTAACGAGGTGTGTCTTAAATCCATTCATGTTTGAGATTAAACACAGAGAAGCAATTGGGGGGGGTGTGTATGTGGATTCCACATGGAGATCGCCAAGAAACACCAAGAAGGCAGCCTGAGCAGCTGAGACAAAGCAGGAGACAGAGACAGGGGGACTGTTAGAACTCTCCCTTCCCACCCACCCATCCACTGAGCTCATAGGGCCCATGGACCCTGGGTGGGCAGAGCCCTCAGTTTAGACACCAGGACCAAGTCCAGATGGAGCAGCAACCAGAGACTGCAGTGGGACCATGACTCCTCTCCCTCCCCAGCGTGGACCCCAAGAGGATCCTGGGCATGTCCCCATGTGACCGACCACCCACCACTCACCTCTCCTTGAAGTCGAGAAACACCTTGGCCAGGGAGCTGCCTCCCGCCATCATGGACAGATCAATGGCTCGCAGGAAGCTGTGGTGCACCTTGATCAAGTCCTGGGGAGAGCGGGCAGCAAGGGCACGTGGTCTGTCACCAAGGCACTGCGCATGTCCCCTCGTCACCACAAACACCAGGGCGTGACCCAGCAGGCTGGTCTACCCAGTGGGACCCAAGTGTTTTCAAAGAGCGTCATAAAGTCTAGGAGCGTCCACAGCGCTCCGAACACGTGGGCTGCCCAGAGCTGAGTGAACTTGGGGCTCTGTGGGAGGGGTCCCTCCATTACAGCTGGAGTCTCAGCCTGGGAGAGGGGTGTTCCCTCACATCTTGAAGCAGATGGTGACCAGCAAGCAGTACGCAGCACCCCACCAGCCCATCTCTCAGGCTGTGTCCTCTCTGGGTCCAGGCCCAGAAAGCAGGACTCTTTGGTGTCTAAGTGACTCGTTCAGGGAGCCTGACCAATGGTCACCTCAGGCTACCAGGGAGCCAGGGAGGCAGCTGCTAGCATCCTGCAACTGCCAGGCTGACTGGAAGGTTCTGCAGGAAGCCCACCAGGGCTTAGACCTCCTTGTCCTGCAGATTAGGTTAAGGTGAGCCCACCCCAAGACCTCAAGGTGCAGACTTTATGGCCTCCTTCAGGCAGTGGGGATATATGAGTAGTCCCGGGGGACTCTAGCACTTCCTCCTAGGCACATCTGCCAGGAAGCTCCCTACAGACCACCACGGGGGAGGGGCACCCTCCTTCCATCAGTCACAGTAGGTCCCTGTGAGGGCTCTCGGGCAGGTGGGTGGGGACTCACCTCCAGGTTGATGAAGATGGACACCATGTCCCCAGGACTCAGCACCAGCCTCAGTGGACTCATGTAATTCTGCAGAAGACAAAGACCCGGGCCAGAGTCTCGTTGAGACCTGCTCGTCCCCAGCCTCCTGTCATTCTCCACTACACACAGTCGGTGCTCAATGCTTGCTGGTGATGAGGCCAGGGCAGGAAGGAGGGGTGGGCTGAACCCCAGGGCATCAGCACACCTATGAGGGGCCCTCCACACACGGCATGGTGCTTGAACCCTCCGCAGTCCCAAAGACTGATCAATGTTGGCATGAGAGACAGAGGCCAGGATGGGAGGAACACGACCCAGGGCATCGGCTGGATGGTGGCCGCGAGCTGCCCCCCAAGCATCCAAACACTCAGGCCTGTGCTCTTCAGGGTCCCCAAAGACCGCCTGGCAGCAGGTGGGATGGCAGGTGAGGTTGAGCCCGTGGAAATTCTCACACATTGGTTCCAGAAGTCGCGGACATCAAGTCCTTCCCTTGCAAACCCCTCTGTTACTCAGCTCTGAGAGGCACTTGGGCGGGGGGGGGGGGGGGGGTGAGTCGGAGACATGCTCCGGAATGAAGTCGCCAACACAGACCCATGGGGCTCAAAGGCGGCACTGAGCTGAGCCTGGACACAACAAGCCCAGTGGCCAGGATTGACTCCAGAGGGAAGAGGCACGTCTGGGTGGGTGAGAGGGGTCAGAGCCAGTAGCCTGGGAGGGGTGCACGGGAAAGGGAAGGATGACTGCTTTTGTAGGGTAGCTGCTGTTGTTAAGTGCAGTCGGGTCGATTCCTAGAGCCTGACACAGTCACCCCAGTCTGCCCCACACACCTTCTCAATGTCCTCCAGGGTCCGGTAGTACTTGGCCTCCGTCTCTTGAATCTCCAGCAAGCAGCAGTTCCTCTTGTCATCCTCTGTCATGCCCATTTTCTGCAGAGAGGACATGTCGTGAGTGGCGCCCAGACCCTCCATACCACACCCAAGATGACCCCACAAAGCAGGACCTGGACGGTAGCCGGGATCTAGCCAGGGCACCCGGAGACCAAGTCCTGCTGTGTTATACAGGTGAGGAAACTGAGGCACAGGGAGGGGGCGTGACTCGGACCAGCGGGCTGGGGACCATGGTAGACATGGAAGTTTCTAGAACCCCCAGATCTTTCTTGCTTCTCCTCGCCAACCGGGAGGAACTCGGTATCCTGGGGACACACAGTGGGGACACACTGAAAGCTCCGGCTGCATGTGGAACGTGTGTAGCGCCAGAGACACTGGAAGGCATCCTGGGATTGGTGTCCACCAGGAACAGCCCGTTTCCCACCGGGGCTGGGGACGGGTGGTTTGGGGCAGTCCTGGGTACTCCAGACACCCTCGGCAGCTGGCAGCCATGCCCCCTGCGGGCTCAGAAGCAGAACTGACCTATGTCTGGTGACACCTGGACTCACTCAGCCCCAGTACCCTCACCCCTCTAGGAAACACTCTGAGGTCCCTCTCTTGTCTGCCAAGGCTCCCAAAACAATATACAAGATGGGGGTACCCCCGCACAGGGGGTGCGATGGGTTGGGGGCCGGGATCACAGGGTGTCCTGAAGTCTCCTGAGCCCACCACTCTGCACAGTCTGGAGCTGCTGGGCTTCTAGGGCCAGGGTCCCTCTGAAACTGGGGGTGATGTGGGGTGGGTGACTGCGTTTCCCACGAGTCTCCCCAGCATTCCACAGGGTGCTGTACTTAAACCCTCGGGCAGCACCGGGCACTCACCTGCATGTATCTGATCTGAGAGCATGGAGGAGGAATGACAGAAAGCAGTTAGCGGTCCTGACCCCACAACTAGAAGCTGCATTCAGGGAGCCCTATCACCCCTCATCCATCCACCTGTCAGCTTGGCCTAGTGAGAGAGCAGTGAGTGGACACAGGACACCACACTGGTCACTGGGAGCAGCACCGGCTGTCTTCATTGGAAACATCACCGTCCCCTCCCACTTGGATGATTTAAGGGTACCTGGGTGCCCCAGGACACCCATGATCTGGAATGAACCCTGGTAGGGTGCCCCTAAGGGATCACTTGCTCTCATAGCCTCTGAAGGCATGCTGGGGTCTAGGAAGTGTGTGTGGCTGGTGGGGGTCCCCTCAAGACCTCTTACTGGCCATTGCCCGCCCCCGGTCACCCTCAGGACACTGCCCAGCTCGGGATGGCCATGGGCATAAAGTGGCTGTAGTCCCAGTAGGTTCCCAGCTTCCGAAGCTCCCCAGGTGCTGGGAGGAAGAGACACAAATGGTGAACGTGTTTGGCTGCTCAACGAAAGGCTGGAGGTTCCATTCTACCCAGAGGTACCTTGGAAGAAAGGCTTGGCTATCTACCTCTGAAACATCAGCCACTGAGAACCCTCGGAGCCCAATTCTACTCGGACACACACATGGAGTCACCATGAGCCGACTGGACGGCAATGGTTTGGGCTGTTTGTTCTGTCCTCTCAGGGGCAGGCTGAGGGGGGCATGTGTCAATGAAGTGCTCCCTGACCAGCCGCAAGTGGTCAGGAGAAAAGCCACAGTGCAGGCTGCCCCGGAGTGCTCTGCTGCCCCCACGAAGAGCCCTCCTGTCTGCAAGGCCACATCAGGGGCCAAATGAGAACTACCTTTTTAAGAGCAGAGTCTAGGGGAAGGCCAGTGGGCTGCGTGGGCTCGGCAGGGTTGGAAGACATCTCAGGGGTCTTTGTGTCCCACCAGAGCTAGTTCTACTGCACAATGGGCACAAAGACCTGCTACTTGCTTTGGGGGTTGTTTCCCATAGTCCTCAGTACAATCAGATGACAGAGCCAGCCCGCCAGACTACTGAAGAGCAAGAGACTTCAGCCTGTTCCCCAGCCCCACCTGCCTGCCTGCAGGGCCCCTCCACACAGCGGCTGCCAGCAGTGAGCCACACTCACACAAACTGTCATCCAAGAAAATCTTAGCCAGCGCCTGCTGGGAGCTGAATTCCCTGGTCAGATAAAAGACGCGCAGCTGGTTGATGAAAGCCCTCAGTCTCTTCCTTCCACACAAAGGGAGAAAGCAGCTGGGAGCATCAGGCCAGATCTGGAATCCTGCAAACCCCTCAGAGCAGAGGTTTCCATACCACCTCCAGGCCTCCTCACAAAACCCCGAGAGGAGACACGGGCAGGGTTTCCAGAATTTCGAAGAGGAACCTCCATGGAGATGTGGCACGGCCTGACTAGATGCCCCACGTGGGGCGGGCACTTACCATGGGCTGCTGCACCTCGACCTTGATGATGTCCTCATAGATGTCATCCCCTTCATCCTCACACGGGACACAGTCATAGATGTCCTCACCCAGGTCATGCTCACTGCAGCGGGAGGGAAGCATGAGGCACTGCGCCCAGCTCAGCCTCCCATAGGGGATGGCAGAAACCGCCACCTCCCGCTCTGCCTGTGTGGCGTGTGCGTATGATGCCCGGTGTGAGAACATCCTACTTTCTCTGGTTCTGGTGATGGATGCTGTGGGTTAGGTATTGTGCTGCTGAGTTCAAACCCACCAGCCGCTTCAAGGGAGAAATAATGAGGCAGTCTGCTTCCGTAAAGATTAGCCGCCTCGGAGTCCTGTGTGGGTGGTTCAACTCTGTCCAGGACGGTTGCTGAGTCCGAGTCAACTCGAGGACAATGGGTCTGGGTTCTGTCTGTCTGTTTGTCTCTGGCTCAGTATTTAATGCTGGGAACACAGGCTGGAGGCCCAAGAACTAGACCCTTCTCACAGGTTTGTCATAAGAGGTTCTGTACCCCAGCTTCCTGTCCAAGCTCCCTCCCACTGCCTGTGTCTATGAGCCAAGGTCTCCTAGGTCTCCCCAGCCCTGAGCCTTGAGGTTTAGAGTCTTCGTCTGCCCCACTGAATGTTCTAGGCATTGTGGCCTTCGTCACAGTACAAAGAACTCCTAGATGCACAATGACAAACTTGAGTAAGCACAGAGGACCTGTGACAGGCCTAGAGTGTGACATGAGGGGGCTATCAGGAAGGGCTCCCTGAGGAAGTGGCATCTGATCCAAGCCTGGAAGAATGTGCAGGAGTGAGCTAGACAGGCAGTGGGCAGGACCAACAGCTCGTGCAAAGGCCCTGTGGCTGGCTGCACCAGCACACTCAAAGAACAGGAAGGCCACCTGGCCTGGAAGCCCAGTTGGGGGAGAGGGCCTATAGAGGTGGACGAAGCCAGGGCTAGCAGGGCTCACGAGGCAGCGTTAGGCCAGTGGGTGTAGGAGGAAGACGACACAGTATTTCTCGGCTGCCTTCCAGAGGAAGGCCAGGAAGGAGAAAAAGCGCCAGAACACAGAATCTTCACGTGATGTTGAGAAATAACCATATTGGGGAAGGTAGCTGCCAACACCCACCATGAGCTGTCTGAAGGCACCATGGCAGGTGTGCTGTCATTGCTAACTCCTACCACGCCCATTCTCACTCCAGGTGGACAGCTGATCCATGGGGTTTTCAAGGTTACTTTTTGAAAACAGATGAGAAGAGCCTCTGGGTGGCTTTGAACCTCCAACCTTTCAGCTAGCACTTAACCCACAGACTCCACTACAGGGGTGAGGAAGCACCACAAAACCATTCCTGGTGCAAAGAAGTGTGGTCACTTTACAGACGAAAAACAAACTGAGGCTATATGACTAGCTGGGATGGGCAGAGCCATGGCCCAGGTCCTTTGTTCTCACCTCCGCCCTGCACGCCCCCACCCCCCACCCCGAGTAGAGAATGTCGGTGTGTCTAGACCTGAAATGGGGTGCAGAGCAGGCTGGGTCCACAGAGGTTCCACTGGAATAAACTAGAGTAGTAAGGATGCTCATGACTCATGCCTGGGTTTCCTCACTAACCCATCTTCCTGGAGGGTCTCTCTTGAGAACACAAAATGGGGCTCCCTGTTTCTGCAGATGCTGTTCTCAGGGAGTACACCCTCTGCTCTGCACCGCCCCCTCTAGGGACCTCACACACACAGAAGAGGCGCTTGTCAGCAGGTGTTGGTCGCCTTAAACTTCTGTGACTCAATAGAGCGAGGCTGGAGACAAAGCCCCTGTCGAGAATTCCGACGGTGTGGAACCGAGGGGACAGGGAAAGAAGTTCCCAGACTGCTCAGTTAGACACTCGGAAGACCGGTGAGGTTGTCCCTCGGTGTGGAGAGTGACAAGGGCTTTGCTTTGACAGAAGGGGCTGTGGAAGACAGTAGGAACCCTGTTAAACACCTAGAGTTGATGGAGTGAATCCAAGCGCCTGCAGAGGCTTTGAGGTCTGGATGCAGGGACAGAGCCGTTTCCTCAGGCCACGTTCATCACTAACAGACGCAGGACTCTGAGCTCTCCCGGCTCCGAGACTACTACAAACCAACCAGAACCAGCCCTGAAGAGGCCCCAGTACTGGTAGGGAGGTGGGGTCTGCAGGCAGGGACCCACTTGAGATCTCATGGGATGATGTCCCACGCTCTAACATCAGAACAACGGGATGCAAAGAGATATACAAGGTGCAGTCTGTTCATCTTGGGGCGAGGGAACACTCAGCCCCATTATGAGTCCAACAGTGTGTTGGTCATTCTACTGAGGGATGGGCAGTGAAGGTTGTAGTGGAGCAGGTAGATGCAGCAAAGCCCATGGGAACACCAGTGGGTCCACGCCCTCCTCCTGACACCACCAGACAGGTACGCACCTGCATGAACTGACTACCTACTGTGTTCTCACATGGGTTTTCACACGCTTGCCACTGAGGTTTACATAGGTTGGACACCGTCCTCCCTTAGCTGCAGCTGAGATGTGTGGATACAGCTACTTAATTCACTTCCCCTAAGAGTTCCTTCAGGCCAGCCTGAAGGTTTCCCACCCTGGATGGTTTGTCTCGCACTTTGTTCTCCTGGGTGTTGGTTCTGCATCCTCAGCATCACGTCTCTGAGATCCAACCACGCCATGCCTCTCTCACAGGCTTATTACAGCCAAGCACCAGATCACGTGTGAACAGGCCACTATTTCCATCCACTGTCCTTCTGCTGGACAGTCGGGATGCCTTTGAATTATTGTGAAGAAATTCCATTGTAAGCGTTGTGAGAAACACCAGTGAGAGGAATCACTGGGTCCAAACAAGGTAGATGATTGACTTAAGAGACTGACCAGCATTGTTTTACAATTCCTCCAGCAGTGCATGTGGGTTCCCATTACTCCACACCCTCTTCAGCTCTTCTTGTTACGAGTTTTTTGTTTCTAACTGAGATACTGTGATTGGTTGCTGTCCAGTTGATTCCAACTCCTCGAGACTTTCTTCATAACAACACTGCCCAGTCTTGCGCGATGTCAAGATCATTAGAGTCCACTGTCCTTGTTTCCGCAGAGCCTCTACTAAACAGGATGTCCTCTCCTGTGGTCTTAACTTGCGTTTCACGATGTTGAGCGGTTCTATAGCGGTGCTGTAGGATAAGCACTGGACAGCAAGGTCGGTTTGAACCACAAGGTCAGCAGCTCAAACTCACCAGCCGCTCCTTGGAAACTCTACAAAGGGTCGCTATGAGTCAGAGCCAACTCAAACACACTTAACAACAAGTGATGTTGAGGACTTTTCTGTGTGTTTACTGGACATTTCCCTTTGTGAAAGACTTTTGCCCTTTTATAAATAAAACTGGTTTTCTGTCTATTCATTCAATTCTAAGAGTTCTTTATATATATTCTGGATGGAAGCCCTTTGTCAGATGTTTTGTAAGTTGTATTTTCCAGTCTCTTCTCTGGCTTAGCTATTTTCTTAATAATGTCTTGTGATACGTCCAATTTTGATAAAGTCAAATTTTAATCACAATTTTGTCTAAGGAGCTCTGAGTCTTCCCTAAGAAAGATCTGTACCCTGTCTATAAAATCTCTGCTTTTTTTCTGGGTCATAAAAGACATTTTCCTATGTTGTTCCCTAAAAGCTAGGTCGTTTTAGCTTTTACATTTAAATCTCTGACCCACTGCAGATAAATGTTTATATGACAGGGAAAGCTACCACAGAGAACAGTTGTTCCAGAACAATTTTTTTTTAAAAAACCATGGATAGTTTAGCTGCCTTTGACAAAAATAATCTGACCATATAATAAGTGTAGGTCTATTCTGGAATCCTGTATTTGATTTCATCAATCTATTTGTCTATTTTTACGCCAACAACCCTGACTTTACTACTTTCGTTTTATACAGAGTCTTATAATAAAGGAGTGTAAATTATCGAGTTTTATTCTTTTATTAACACTGTTTAGATTTTTCTACTACCTTCTGCATTTACATATAAAATTTAGAATAATCTTTTCAATTTCTTTTAAAAAGAAAGAAATTCTAGTAGGGTTATAATAGGAAATGTATTGACTCTATCATTTATAGTTTAATTTTGGGAGATCTGCCATCTTAACTGTATTGTCTTCCAGCCCAAGAACATGGTACATATTTCCATCGATTGAGGGCTTGTGAACTTTTTTTTAGCAGCATTTTGTCATTTTTATCTAGAGGTTTTAAAATTTAGAAAGGTTTTGATCATTCTTTCTTATATATATATGTCCAATTCTATCTTTGTTCTTCTTCTGGGATTCTGGGTTGGATTGCGCTCTTCCCCCCTCACACACACCAAAAAAAAGATATATTGAAGTCTGAGCCGCTGGGGCCTGTAAATGTGACCTTATTTTTAAGTAGGAGTGTTGTAGATGTAATCGAGTTAAGATGAGGTCATTAGGAGGGGCCCTAATCCAATATTAACAGTACCCTCATAGGAAGAGGAGAAACAAACCCAGAAGGAGAAAGAGTAAGACTCTGTTGTTCGAAGCACCAGTTTGTGCTACTTTGTTATAGCAGCCGTAGGAAACTAACACAGACCCCCAACTGCACGTATGTTGGACCACCTGATACTGTTCCGCATAGATGAGCCTCCGGTCATAATCTTCGATCTTCTTCCTTCTCTGAGCTCCTAGTTCAAGGACTCTTTTGCCATGCCCAGACTCCTATTAAGTAAGCTGTTCATTTCAGTTGCCATGCTTTCCAGTTTCATCATTTTGATAAAATGATATCATTTTAGTTGTTCTTCATCGTTTCTACTAAGAAACCCTCTACAAGGTCGCTATGAGTCAGATTGATTTGACAGCACCGAACAATCATTTCTCTGCTGAGATGTCTCATTTTGTTCACTAATTTAGTATTTTCCCCAAAGTCCTTGCCATGTTTACAAAAGCTGCTTTTTACGGATTTTGTCTGCAAATTTAAACAAACAGGGTGCTGCAAGGTCAGTTTTTGCAGACCTGGCTTTTTCCTGCTTCTTTTTGAGCTCAGTGATTCTTTACTGGACATGATGAAGGCTACATTGATTCTACAT